ACCTGTTACCAGTTGTCTCTACTTTCGTCGTCCCGGGTCTTTCGGCCTTATACTTGTTTTTCGTTTCCGCCCTTCTGAAGACTCGTTGGCACCCGGAGGTCTATCTAATGTGTGTCCTAGCCTTCGGTCCACTTACTGTAGGTTTCCATGTGAATGCATGTACTTTGGATCTTTACCAAAATGCGCTCGTAGATGTTTGCCGTTTGGACGATTGTGTAGGTCTGTAGGTGCGTGGTGCGTTGTACGTCTACGGAAGTTGGGTACAAGTAGGCCACTTGTTGAATTAGGGGTTGTTGTCGTTGCTTTTCTTGCCACGGGCTTGGTGGAGGTCCCATTGTCTGTTTGTTCTGTTGTTGTGGACATGTGCACAAACCATCACAGTATCCGTATGTGAGTGTACACTAAGTGTGTTTGCTGTTTCCTTTCTCCGGCTCTACATTCTTTCATCCAGTGACCTGTAATTTATATGCTTGGTTTGTTAGCATCAACCCCTTTTCTCCCTCTTCCACGTGTGCACGCGCTTCTCTCTTTCCCACCCTCTGTCTGTCTGTCTGTTCTGTGTTGCGGTCCTGACCAAGTTCGGAGTGTTCACTCGGCAGAAAGTTTAATGGCATCCAATTGCAAAAAGAAATGTTTAAACATGAGGGGAGAGAAAGAGAAAAAGGTCATTCTGAATCCTGCTTCCTCCCCTCTTATTCAAACAAAAAAGAACAATAATAATGTTGAATGGCTGAACATCATCTATGTTGCATTGACGAAGCTCTACCGCAGGAAGAAATCCTGCATAGGTCAAAGATATGCATGGACAACACAAAGCAGTTTTGTGGTTTGTCTGCTCCGTCTGTTGTGTCTCTCTGTCTGTCTGTCCATCTGTCTGTCGGTCTGCTCTGGTTTGTATGTCTGTCCGTCGGTCCATCTGTCTGTTTGTCAGTTTGTCTGTCTGTCGCCTTGTCTGGTCATTCAATCAGTCAGTCTGTTTGTCTGTATGTCTCTCCGTCTGTTTGTCTGTCTGTCTGTCTGTCTGTCTGTCTGTCTGTCTGTCTGTCCGTCTGTTTATCTGTCTGTCTGTCTGTCTGTCTGGTCTGTAAGTGGATGAACCAGAATGAAAGGTTGTCTGATGGTCCAATATGTCTGTGTGTGTGTGTGTGTGTCTGTGTGTCCGTCTGTCTGTCTGTCTCCTAATCTGTCTATCTATCTGTCTGTCTGTCTGTTTGTCTGTCTGTCTCTTTCTTTCTTTGTTTCTTTCGTTCTTTCTTTCTTTCTTTCTTTGTCTAACATGTTTCTTTCTTTTTTTCTTTTTTTTCTTTTTTTCTTTCCTTCTTTCTTTCCTTCTTTCTTTCTTTCTTTCTCTTTCTTTCTTTCTTTCTTTCTTTCTCTCTCTCTTTCTTTCTTTCTTTCTTTCTTTCTTTCTGTCTTTCTTTCTTTCTTTCTTTCTTTCTGTGTCTTTGTTTGTCTGTCTGTCTGTCTGTCTGTCTGTCTGTTTGTCTGTTTGTCTGTTTGTCTGTGTGTCTGTGTGTCTGTCTGATTGGTCTGTAAGTGGATGAACCAGAATCAAAGTCTGTGTGTGTGTGTGTGTGTGTGTGTGTGTGTGTGTGTGTCTGTCCGTCTGTCTGTCTATCTCTCAGTATCTCCTAATCTGTCTGTCTGTCTGTCTTCTAATCTGTCTGTCTGTCTCCCAATCTGTCTGTTTGTCTGTCTATCTGTCTGTCTGTCTGTCTGTCTGTTTGTCTAGTGAACATGGTGGATGAACCAGAATCAAAGTCTGTCTGTC